ACTGCGGTGATGGTTCAGATGAGCCTGCAGACTGCCGTGAGTAACACCACTGTAATACCAAACTGTCCAGTAACACATATTAAAGCATTGGTTACACCAAGGACCAAGCGATTGTTCAGAGGAACCCACAGTCCGTTGCCGCACCAAGTATCCCAGTAGCACATCTTCACCATCATATACAACAAATTGTCTAGTAACATGTATTTACCATGAGCTGCACCAAACTGTCCAGTAACACATATTCAACATTGGTTACACCAAGGACCACGCGATGGTTCGGATGACTCTGCAGACTTTTGTTGCACCAAATATCCCAGTAGTACACATTCAGCATCATTTACAGCAAACTGTCTAGTAACATACGTTCAATATGAGCTGCACCAAATGACCCATATTCAACACGGGTTACACTAATGATCTTGTAACATATTCAACAGTGTTACACCATATGCACCAGTGACACTCAATTAACATGATTAACACCATCCAGCCCAGTAACACACATTCAACATCAGCTAAATTCAATATCCAAGTAGCATAGATACAACATTGGTTACACCAAAGACTCAGTAACAATCAACAGCAGGTACACCAACACATATTCAACATTGATTACACCGGTGACCTAGTGACACATTCAACATTGGTTACACTAATGACTCAGTAATGCACATTCAGCACTGTTAACACCAATGACTTAGTAACATATTCAACATGGGTTACACCAATGACCCCATCAAACATTCAACAATGACTGCACCGGTGACCCAGTGACACGTTCAACGTTGGTTACACCAATGACTCAGTAATGCACGTTCAGCATTGGTTACACCAGTGACTCAGTAATGCACATTCAGCATTGTTAACACCAATGACCTAGTAACATATTCAACACTGGTTACACCAGTAACCCAGTGACACATTCAACATTGATTACACCAAAGACTGATTCTATAACAGACCGAAAAGAACACAAAGGCTTGACTTAGATGACCCCTAAGACTTTTGAGATAAGATTTCCGGGACTGATGAGTCAAAGGTGGAACTTTTTGGAAGACATGGGTCCCGTTACATCTGACATAAAGCTAACACTGCATTCCACCATAAGAACATCATACCAACAGTGACACATGGTGGTGGTAGTGTGATAGTCTGGGGCTGCGTTGCTTCTGCAGGACCTGGACGACTTTTGTTGTCTGAGTTCAGCTGAAAACCATGGTTTGTCGTTGCTTTGTTTCACGCATGCTGTAGTTGAAAGGCAGCTGTCCTTGCAGAAACTGACGTATGATGTAAGGGTGTCCCCTCAACCGTCTGCCTCTCTTTCGTTTCCTCTCCCCTTTGAGTAGAGCCAGTGCACTGCTGTGAGGATTTCTAAAACTGTGAAGGTTTCTGAATAATATCAGGAGAAAGGTCAGTAATTGTTCCCTGCTCCAACTAACTCAGTTTGACGTACAAGAGACGACATTAACAAAAACAAGCACAAAACCTCCGAGGGTCTTACTATGGCTGCCATCCTCAGTGCCTTTTCATTTGTTTACATCAACCAGCCAAGTACCACACATTCAATATCAGTTACATCAAACGTATAGTAAGACTGCCAGTGTTTGATTTGGAATAAATATAAAAACAGTGAGCAGCATAAACATCTATAAACATCTACTGAGTGAGAATAACAGCGGTACAAGTCACAACATCGGTTACACCAACAAGCCTCATAACATATTCAGCATTGGTTACACCGAATAAACCAGTGACACACAATCAGCATTTAATTAAACCGAATAGATCACTGACGCAGATTCAATATCAGTTACACCAAATAAACCAGTGACGCACATTCAGCATCGGTTTCACCAGATAAACCAGTGACACACATTCAGCATCGGTTTCACCAGATAAACCAGTGACACACATTCAGCATCGGCTACACCAAATTAACCAGTGACACACATTCAGCATCGGTTTCACCAGATAAACCAGTGACACACATTCAGCATCGGCTACACCAAATTAACCAGTGACACACATTCAGCATCGGTTTCACCAGATAAACCAGTGACACACATTCAGCATCGGTTTCACCAGATAAACCAGTGACACATATTCAGCATCGGTTTCACCAGATAAACCAGTGACACACATTCAGCATCGGGTACACCAGATAAACCAGCGACACATTCAGCATCGGTTACGCCAAATAAACCAGTGACACACATTCAGCATCGGTTTCACCAGATAAACCAGTGACACACATTCAGCATCGGTTTCACCAGATAAACCAGTGACACACATTCAGCATCGGCTACACCAAATTAACCAGTGACACACATTCAGCATCGTTTACACCAAATAAACCAGTGACACACATTCAGCATCGGTGACACCAAATAAACCAGTGACACACATTCAGCATCGGCTACACCAAATAAACCAGTGACACACATTCAGCATCGGATACACCAAATAAACCAGTGATACACATTCAGCATCGGGTACACCAGATAAACCAGCGACACATTCAGCATCGGTTACGCCAAATAAACCAGTGACACACATTCAGCATCGGTTTCACCAGATAAACCAGTGACACACATTCAGCATCGGTTTCACCAGATAAACCAGTGACACACATTCAGCATCGGCTACACCAAATTAACCAGTGACACACATTCAGCATCGGTTTCACCAGATAAACCAGTGACACACATTCAGCATCGGTTTCACCAGATAAACCAGTGACACATATTCAGCATCGGTTTCACCAGATAAACCAGTGACACACATTCAGCATCGGGTACACCAGATAAACCAGCGACACATTCAGCATCGGTTACGCCAAATAAACCAGTGACACACATTCAGCATCGGTTTCACCAGATAAACCAGTGACACACATTTAGCATCGGTTTCACCAGATAAACCAGTGACACACATTCAGCATCGGCTACACCAAATTAACCAGTGACACACATTCAGCATCGGTTTCACCAGATAAACCAGTGACACACATTCAGCATCGGTTTCACCAGATAAACCAGTGACACACATTCAGCATCGGCTACGCCAAATTAACCAGTGACACACATTCCGCATCGGTTTCACCAGATAAACCAGTGACGCACATTCAGCATCGGCTACGCCAAATTAACCAGTGACACACATTCAGCATCGGTTTCACCAGATAAACCAGCGACACACATTCAGCATCGGTTACGCCAAATTAACCAGTGACACACATTCAGCATCGGTTTCACCAGATAAACCAGCGACACACATTCAGCATCGGTTACGCCAAATAAACCAGTGACACACATTCAGCATCGGCTACACCAAATTAACCAGTGACACACATTCAGCATCGGTTTCACCAGATAAACCAGTGACACACATTCAGCATCGGCTACGCCAAATTAACCAGTGACACACATTCAGCATCGGTTACGCCAAATAAACCAGTGACACACATTCAGCATCGGTTTCACCAGATAAACCAGTGACGCACATTCAGCATCGGCTACGCCAAATTAACCAGTGACACACATTCAGCATCGGTTTCACCAGATAAACCAGTGACACACATTCAGCATCGGTTACGCCAAATAAACCAGTGACACATATTCAGCATCGGCTACACCAAATAAACCAGTGACACACATTCAGCATCGGTTACACCAAATAAACCAGTGACACACATTCAGCATCGGCTACACCAGATAAACCAGTGACACACATTCAGCATCGGCTACACCAAATAAACCAGTGACACACATTCAGCATCGGCTACACCAGATAAACCAGTGACACGCATTTAGCATCAGTTACACCAAATAAACCAGTGACACACATTCAGCATCGGTTTCACCAGATAAACCAGTGACACACATTCAGCATCGGTTACGCCAAATTAACCAGTGACACACATTCAGCATCGGTTTCACCAGATAAACCAGTGACGCACATTCAGCATCGGCTACGCCAAATTAACCAGTGACACACATTCAGCATCGGTTTCACCAGATAAACCAGTGACACACATTCAGCATCGGTTTCACCAGATAAACCAGTGACACACATTCAGCATCGGTTACGCCAAATAAACCAGTGACACACATTCAGCATCGGTTACACCAAATAAACCAGTGACACACCTTCAGCATCGGCTACACCAAATAAACCAGTGACACACATTCAGCATCGGTTACGCCAAATAAACCAGTGACACACCTTCAGCATTGGCTACACCAAATAAACCAGTGACACACATTCAGCATTGGCTACACCAAAAAGCAGTCAACTGGTCAGCACCAGTTACACTAAACTGCCGGGTAAAACACATTCTATATCAATATCCTAAAGAAAATAATTTAACATTAGTTATGATAAATGACCCATTAACACACATTCAGCATCAGGTACACCAAACATACAGAAACCGTATCAAGGTTACTGTAACTATTAGTATGTACATGATTGTTAACACCGCTTTAGACATCAAGTTAATATCTGACAGGTCAAGATAAGATTTTCACACATTCGTATTACAGAAGCAAATCAGATCTTAATTTAGGATCTTATTTTTTGACCAGCCTATAATCTCCAGTTAATCTTGAGATAAACCAGGAAATCTTAACCTACTCAATCAAAGTCGACAATCAACTGTCAACCGCCCATACAAACACAGCTGAAACGTAAACACATCATCAAATTATGTTAAAAATATGTTACAGCTGCTGTTACTGGTGTAAAAGGGCCAAACAGAACTAAAGTGTGATAAACTGTAGGTTGTGAATACTGTGAGAGCGCCCCCTGCTGTTTATCAGAGCGTCGCCGCTCCCCAGTTTCAGTCTCCATTTCCCAAACGCTTTAGCCGAGCACGCTAACGTTACTCCTCCTAATAAACAGACACACGTTCAGCTCCGTCTCCTCATTATTCACCACCATCACTGTAATATTTCATCATCAACATTAACACACGAAGGTGATCAGAGGGGCGGTGGAGATCGAGTCTGCAGCGTCTGAGATCTTTAAAACGCAGAGTTAGAAAAGAAAATCATCTCACAGTGAAAGCAGCGTTTTACAGTAGAAATAAATGGAGCTCATTATGCTGGTAGTGAACTATGCTGCTGACTCAGCTGCCTAAAAACCATAGAAACGGACCTTAAACAGAAGTGAGGACCCTGTTGGGGTTCATCCTAAAGTTAGGACAGGATTTAGGAGGTTTAGTCTCGTTAGGATGTTTGTGTGATGCTGTTTTCTGATCTGGAGTTGATGATGAGATTATGAAGTCAGGAGCTGTTATTCTGGAACAGCTACTGTGCGAAATTCAGTCCGTACTGAAGTCGTCATGGAGACTAAACAGATTTCAACGTTCAGATGTTTCTGTAATGCGGCCTCCGGTCACTTTAATTGTTATAACAATGTTGTCCAGCCTTCTGTTTGAGTTTAAATGACAGGGCTGGCCTGCAGACGTCTGCTGAGAGACAATAACAGCAGTGCGAGCTGAGTTTGTGCTTCAGTGCAGACGGATCATTCAGACAAATCACAGCCCTTCAGTCTGACAGACCGAAAATGTGCCTTCATTTCTGTCGGAATCATAAAGCTCCATCTACCTGTCACTCAAACACACTGCCTAGTCTTAGCGATATATATTTTTATATATTTTTTCAAATCACTTTATCATTATATTGCAGCTCCTACCTGTAGAACGGCAGCCCTAATTCAGCTCTTTATGTGTGTGACAGGCGCTGATGTGTGATGTAATCGTGTCTGTAGAAGGAGCTGCACAATCACTGTATTGCACCTTTAACCTGTAATTTCTCTCAGCCGTCGCCGCACAATGAGAACCTGCCGTCATTTATCTCAGACGCGCCGCGTGAGCGGAATGGGGGAACCGCGCCGTGTGCGCGTTCTCCTGCTCAGACCTGTGAGGTGTGAATGGAGCGAGTTCTAATTACGGTCCTGCAGAACCGAGTTGTTCCCTCAGAGCCCTTCAGCACATTCACTCAGAAACGCCCACCAGACTGACTCACACTGAGACCCTCAGACGCTCTCTCACTCTGCACCTCTTACACCTCACTCTGTCTGACTTTATCTCTCTCTCCCTCCTTTCTCCCTTTCTCTTTCTTTCTTTCTTTCTTTCTTTCTTACTCTGTTTCTATCTTTCTTTCTTTATTTATTTATTTTTCTGTCTTTCTGCCTTTCTTTCCTTCTTTCTTTCTTTTTCTTTCTGTTCCTTTCCTTCCTTCTTTCCTTCTTTCTTTCTTTCCGTCCCTTTCTTTCTTTCTTTCTTTCTTTCTTTCTTTCTTTCTGTTCCTTTCCTTCTTTCTTTCTTTCTTTTTCTGTCTTTCTTTCTTTCTTTCTTACTCTGTTTCTATCTCTTTCTTTCTTTCTTTCTTTGTTTCTTTCTTTCTTTATCTCTCTTTCTGTCTTTCTTTCCTTCTTTCTTTTTCTTTCTTTCTGTTCCTTTCTTTCCCTCTTTCTTTCTTTCTTTCTTTCTTTCTTTCTTTCTTTCTGTCCCTTTCCTTCCTTCTTTCTTTCTTTCTTTCTTTCTTTCTTTCTTTCTTTCTTTTCCATTTCTTTCTTTCTTTCTTTCTTTCTTTCTTTCTTTCTTTCTTTCGTTCGTTCTCTCTCTCTCTCTCTCTCCCTCTCTCCCTCTACTCCAGCGGAGTTTAAGTGTCAGCCGGGTCGGTTCCAGTGCCGGACGGGTCTGTGTGCTCTTCCTCCGTTCATCTGTGATGGAGAGAACGACTGTGGCGATAACTCAGACGAAGCCAACTGTGGTGAGGATGGAGGGATGAACGGATGAACATGGAGTATTTTATATTTAATTTATATATTTTATATTGAACTTGTTCTCCCAGAGTGGGTCGGGGTGAGCTGGTGTGTTGGTAGTGATGTGTGTGGTCTGTACTGGAATGTAGGAGTTGGTGTCACACATTGATATTGATTTTCAGTTTCAACATTATTGATAAATAAAGGATATTAAATCCATCATAACATCCTATTTTGAACAGTTTGTTTTTTTAAATTCAACTCCTGATTTTATTGTCACTGTAATCACACTGATTTGACACTAAGTGACCAGGATTACCATCATTACAAAACCCAGGACCAGAACCTGGATTTGCCTCTAGAGTCAGGCTGGGGTGGTTGTTGTTTATGTTTGGTTATATTTTGGTGGACCTCTCCCTCTTCAGACTCCTACATCTGCCTGTCGGGCCACTTTAAATGCACGCGGACTCACCGGTGCATCCCGGGGAACCTGCGCTGTAACGGTCAGGACGACTGCGGGGACGGAGAGGACGAGCACGACTGCCGTAAGAGCCTCCGTTCATGCTTAAAGATCTACAGCCGCTGTCTGTTTATTTGTTATGCATTCAGTTTATACACATTCTTTATTATTCTTCATTAATTAGATTTTCATGCTGCAGGAACAGATTTTGAGTCTAGACTTCGTCACAAAAACATGCGAAAATGTAAACGATGACAACAAACAAACAAACAAGTTTCAAATTCAGACCATAATAACGTATCTTCTCTTCTTCTTTCGAACACAAATTTTGTATCGACTGAACATTTAGAATCTGCACTTTCCACACAGCTTCTCCACTCAGCAGCCATGGAGTGAAAATCAGTAGATTCCTTCAGTCTCTCCCGGGATAATTATCTAATTTAGCTGCGTACCACGTTATAGCTTATGTAAATATATTACATTAACTCAAATAACCCAGGGCTGTTGTTTTCCAGTGAGTTCCAGCTGCGCTCTACTCTGCCAGTCGCACCGCAGGACGCTTTATTTTGCCAGGGAGAGAGTGGGGAGCAGACTCCAGTGGTGTGACTGTTAATTTATGATTTGTAGGACAGAAATGTGATGGTGTGAGCGTTAGTGCTAGTGATGTAAGTGTTAGATGCCATTAAGCACTTTTCTTTAGGGCATAAATGTCCATTTGGTAGGTATTTTGGAAACGGTAGTCCAGCAACACCTCAGTAACCACCTGGGATAGCACAGCAATGGCCTACCAACACCTTAGCAAGTACCTGGGATACCGTAGGAATGACTTAGCATTGCTATAGCAACCACCTTAGGTACCCTAGCAGCGGCCTAATAACACCTTAACAGCCACAGCACAAAAACAGCCTAGCAACACCTTAACAGCCACCTGGGATACCATAGCAACAGCTTAGCAACACCTTAGCACTTACTTGGGATACTATAGCAGAGGCCCAATGATACTTTAGCAACCACCTGGGATACCATAGCAATGGCCTAATAACACCTTAACGACCGTCATAATACAGCAGTTGCCTAGCGACACCTTAGCAGTTAGTTGGGATACCATAGCAATGGCCTAGCAACATTTTAGCTACCACCTGGGATGCCATAGCAATGGCCTAATAACACCCTACAACCCCTCGGGATACCAATACCTTAGAAACCACCTAACAACCAAGCACTACCCTAAGAACCAGCTGGAATATCATAGCAACCAGCAACTATATGAAATCACTATATACATGTAATTATCACAAACAGTCACAAGTGTTGTGCAACTGCTGTAACTTAAGCGTAATTAGCCCACTGTGTCAAGACAACTTTGATTTTTCACAAACTTTCCCTTTCTGATTGATTGATTGATTGATTGATTGATTGATTGATTGATTGATTGATTGATCAATTGATTGATTTTTATTCTTCTCTAATCTGCTATTCAGATATCAGATTAAACATATCTGTGCTGAATCCGAAGAATCTATTTATTCAGCATTTTCATTATCGGTTTATTATTATTCTTTTTGTTGTGAGCTTAGTTCAGCAGGTGGACAAAAGTATTGGGACACCTCCACATCACCCCTACAGGAGCTTTTATGACTCCTATTCTAAACCCATAGGCATTAATATGGAGTTGGTCCCCCTTTGCAGCTCTAACAGCTTCCACTCTTCTGGGAAGCTTCTACAAGATGTTGGAGAGTCTGTGGGAATTTCTGCTCATTCATCCAGAAGACCATTTGTGAGGTCAGACACTGATGTTGGACGAGGAGGTCTGGCTCACAATCCCCATTCTAGTTCATCCTAAAGGTGTGTGATGGGGTTGAGGTCAGGGCTCTGTGAGGGCCAGTCAAGTTCTTCCACATCAAACTCCCCCAGTCAGGCCTTTATGGAGCTGCTTTGGTCACTGGGGCTCAGTCATGCTGGAACAGGAAAGGTTCTTCCCCAAACTGTTCCACAAAGTTGGAAGTGTACAATTGTCCAGAATGTCTTGGTGCTGAAGCATTAAGATTCCCCTTCACTGGAACTAAGGGTTCTAGACCAACCCCTGAAAAACAGCCCCATATCATCATCCCTCCTCCACCAAACTTTACAGCTGGCACAGTGCAGTCAGGCAGGTAACGTTCTCCTGGCATTCGCCAAACCCAGACTCGTCCATCAGACTGACCGATAGAGAAGATTGGTCACTCCACAGAATGTGTTTCCACTGCTCCAGAGTCCAGTGGCGGCGCTTTACTCCACTCTAGCCGACGCTCGGCATTGTGCATAGTGCTGCTTGGCCATGGGAACCCATTTCTCGAAGCTCAGTTCTTTTGCTGATGTTGCTTGGGCTGCAGCACTCGACAGCCCCACTCTGAGTTTGCGTGGATAGCAGCAGCCTAGCAATGCCCCTTCGTAGCTGAGCTGTTGTTGCTCCTAGACGCTTCCATTTCACAGTAACAGCACTTACAGTTGTCTGGGGCAGATCTAGCAGGGCAGAACCTTCACACACTGACTTGTGGCAGAGGCAGCATCCTATGACAGAGCCATGTTTAAAGTCACTGAGCTCTTCAGTACGACCCTCTACTGCCAGTGTTTGTCTATGGAGACTGCAAGGCTATGTACTTGATTATATCCACCTATTCTCTCTGTAAAAGCTACAGCAGGCTGTAACTGCACTGCAGTGTATACAGTGTCAGTTTAAAATATGGCCTCATTTATCACAGCTGAAGCTGCTTTTAGAGCAGATCAATAAAGATGGATCAGTTTTAAACTCACCTACAGTCATTACCTCAACTTTGCCCCAATCAGGAGCTCCTCTCGTTTAGCACCCCACTTTACTTTTTTATTTCTTTTTTCAATCAAGTAAACACAGACAGTGAGGGTGACCCAGTGAATCTCTCTCTCTCTCTCTCTCTCTCTCTCTCTCTCTCTCTCTCCACTCAGCTAAACACAGAGGAGCTTTATTGAAAAATCACGAACATTAGTTTTGGTGCTCCCAAAGTAATTATATTTGTTTATCATTCATCAGTCTTTTACATCTCAAGTCTGGAGTTATTATTCTATAACTTTTCATCAGATTTGATTGATAATAAAATATCTCCAACTTGTAAACACATTTTTCAACTCAATGAGCTACGAGTAATTAAAAAAGTGTAAAGAGCTGTTTTAATGAGGTGTTAATGTTAATCATGTGATTTAAAATGAACTGTGGAAACAGGTTATAATAATCCTATTCCATAAAATTGACCGTATAATTAACCCCAGATTATATTAATCCTGTGCTATAAAATAAATAGGAAAATTAACCCCAGTTTATATTAATCCCATGCTATAAAGTGCACCATATATATATATCCTTTGCTATTAAGCATACTATAGATATAATCCCAGGTTATATTAATCCCGTGCTATAAAGCGTACCATAGCTGTAATCCCATATTATATTAATCCCATGCTATTAAAAGCACCATCAATGTAATCCCAGGTTATAGTAATCCCATGCTATAAAGTGTACCATCAATGTAATCCCAAGGTTATATTAATCCCGTGCTATAAAGCGTAACATCAATGTAATCCAAGGTTATATTAATCCCGTGCTATAAAGTGTACCATAGATGTAATCCCAGGTTAGATTAATCCTGTGTGGGTTGTCCTTTACGGGGGATCCTTAAGGGGTTAAATTTCCTGCTTAATTTCAACACTTCAACATTTGGCGCGTGGAGTGAAGGCGAGAAATCCAGAGTCTTTGTACCAGTCAGTGTCGTGTTCGGTCTCATGTGTGCAGAACTCAGCGCTGAAAGAACCGAGCAATCCTCCGTTTGAAACCACAGCAGGGGCCTAATCTTCCACGCTAGCCTCCTGAGAACGGAGCAGAGGAGAAAGAGAGAGAGAGAGATGAAGGGAGGGGAACAGATAAAAGAGAGGCTGTAATGGTCTCTGAGAGAGAGCGAGAGCGCCAGACCGGGGCCTGTGAGAGTTCCTGGCAGGAGGAGTGAACAGCGTTAGCCTAGCGGGTGGTAATTGTGGGGTGGGGTAACCGAGGCTAGCCCGTAGCTGAGATTAGCCTAGCAGAGGGAGGGTTTAACAAGGCTAATCCCGTTAGAAGGGGGGTGCTAGAGCCTGGATCTGCTCCCCAGAGGCAGGGGTCTCGATTTTAGCTCCAATGTAGGTCAGTGAGCGGCTGGTGGAGCTTAACCTACCTTAGCTTAGCTTAGATTAGCTTAGCGACATAGCTCCTCAGTCTGTTGTGAGCAGAGCGCAGACACCAGCCTCTGATTTCAGTCTGGAATGACAGAGGCTTTCAGTCCTTCGCGAAGTGAGATGGGCTTACAGAGCTAATATATTAAAAAATAAAACAATTTACTAAATATAAAAGCGAATGCTTGATGAAGGGAAGGATGTAAAAATTCTTCATCTTCTAGATTAAGTTTATTCATAGTTTCTGCTAAAGTGACTCGATTTAAAGAGCTTTCAGAGTTTCCTCATTATCTGATAACTCAAGAGCACAAAAACGGACTGAACCAGTTACTGACACAATCTGATTTTCTGCAGTTATCAGATAATTATGTGTAAACACACTGAACCAGTTACTGACACAATCTGATTTTCTGCAGTTATCAGATTAAGTGTAAATGCACTGAACCAGTTACTGACGCAATCTGATTTTCTCCAGTTATCAGATAATTAAGTGTAAACACACTGAACCAGTTACTGAAACAATCTGATTTTCTACAGTTATCAGATTAAGTGTAAACGCACTGAATCAGTTACTGACACAATCTGATTTTCTGCAGTTATCAGATTATTAAGTGTAAACACACTGAGCCAGTTACTGACACAATCTGATTTTCTGCAGTTATCAGATTAAGTGTAAACGCACTGAATCAGTTACTGACACAATCTGATTTTCTGCAGTTATCAGATTATTAAGTGTAAACACACTGAACCAGTTACTGATGCAATCTGATTTTCTGCAGCTATCAGATAATTAAGTGTAAACACACTGAACCAGTTACTGACACAATCTGATTTTCTGCAGTTATCAGATTATTTAGTGTAAACGCACCGAACCAGTTACTGACACAATCTGATTTTCTGCAGTTATCAGATTATTAAGAGCATGTAAACACCCTAAATCAGTTACAGCGCCTATGTATGTCTTATGAAGTCCTCGTCCTCAGATAAAGTGCTGTTTGCTGTGCTTTACACCATGATCTGGTTGTTTGTCCACTCTCTGTCTCCTGTTTGTGCTCCTCCAGCTGAAAACACGTGTTCGCCGACCCAGTTCCAGTGCAAGACCACGAAACACTGCATCTCCAAGCTGTGGGTGTGCGATGAGGACCCAGACTGTGCCGACGGCTCGGACGAAGCCAACTGCGGTGAGCCGCCCACCCGCCGTGTCAACACACATCACCTCACACATACACAAACATTACATCCAGGTGAAAACGCCCGCTCACGGTCACAGTCCTGCAGGTCACACTTACATAAACATAAACATCCTGGCGCTGTAGCTGGCCGCTTTGTTGTTTGGTGAAAGATCAGATTTACCCAGTTTAATTTATTAAGCAAATCTATTAGAGATTAGCCCTGCGATGGACTGGCGACCTGTCCAGGGTGTATCCTGCCTTCCGCCCAATGACAGCTGGGATAGGCTCCAGCACCCCACCGCGACCCAGAAGGATAAGCGGTTTAGATGATGTATGTATGTATTAGAGATTACTGAACATCTCACACAGTCTGAGTCAAGTGTTAGCATCATGCTAATTGGTGGGCCGTAACTTTCCATTTCTTGTTAGCTAAATTAGCCTTGGTGCTCCAGTTCTGTATACAACACATTCTCCATCAATCCTAAGAGCCGATTCACCATGCAGAGAACCATTTAAGCATGAAAACAGTTCTATACAGAGCTCAAGGTCACGCTTTACTTGGATGGGCCCCTATAGAGGCTCTACAGAGACTTAAATCATTAACAGACTTTCTGGTGATGTTCAGTTGATTATCAACAACGTTATGGGTAGGGTTTGGGTTAGGAGTAGATGTAGGTTTTCCTTGAGGATAAGGTGAGGGTTAGGTTTAGGTTTAGGTTTAGGGTTAGATTTAATACATTCTTTCACACTAAACTTGAAGTTCAGTTGAATTTAATGGCTGTTTAGTTGAATGTTACTTAAAGATCTACTGAACATTTACAAAGAATCTACGGTGGACCATCCAAATAAAGTGTTCTAGGTTCTAAATAGAGCCATTCACTCTACTAAAGAACCCTTGACACAATGTCTTTTTTTATGGATGCTCACTTTTCCACTGAATTATATTTTGTCAACGTTATTGATGAAAAAAAAACATAGTGAAAAACTGAGGAAGATGCAAAACAGGTAGAAACTGTATTTTATAGCTACCGTGAACAGTGTGTGTGTGTGTGTGTGTGTGTGTGTCTGTGTGTGTGTGTGTGTGTGTGTGTGTGTGTGTGTGTGTGTGTGTGCGCGCAGGCTGGAGTGGTTCTCAGTCACCCGGAGCGTAGCGCCCCCTGTGGGAGTTACAGTGCTGTCTTTCTGTGTTATATCCACACTGTGGGCTTCTCACTTTAACACAGCTATATTGACTCTCTCTCTCTCTCTCTCTCTCTCTCTCTCTCTATCTTTACCTCTCTCTCTCTCTCTCTCTCTCTCTCTCTCTCTCTCTCTCTACGTTTACCTCTCTCTCTCTCTCTCTCTCTCTCTCTCTCTCTACCTTTCTCTTTTATCTCTCTCTGTACCTCTACTTCTCTCTCTACTATCCTCTCTCTCTCTCTGTCTCTCACTCTACCACTACTTCTCTTTTCTCTGTCTCTCTCTCTACCTTTCTCTTTTATCTCTCTCTGTACCTCTACTTCTCTCTCTACTATCCTCTCTCTCTCTCTGTCTCTCACTCTACCACTACTTCTCTTTTCTCTGTCTTTCTCTCTCTCCCTCTCTCTCTCTCTCTTTCTCTCTCTCTCCCTCTCTCTCTCTCTCTCTCTCTCTCTCTCTCTCAGGGTTAATGAAGTGATGCTGTGATCCAGTGAAAGATGTTTAATTTAGATGAAAGATGATGTCGTATGAACTGGAGTTATAAGTTAATATATTAAAATTATGCATAATTATGCATATTTTTTTTTCATTATCATAAACATTTAAGTCGAGTGAATTTCGGGGACGTATGTGGAGTCGGTTTTGCGCCGAGGTCGGGGGCAAAAACTCCCAACGTTCAAATGATGAACATTTTTTTGGAAGATCAGTGGACTTGCCCTTCAAACAACTCAACACAGTTTCTTAATGTAGGCATGCAGTTAGCACTGTGCTAATTAGTGGTCTATACGCTTCCATTACATGTTAGCTACATTAGCCTCGTAGCTCCGGAGCTAAAACTACAGAAACAAACTTCAGACCCCAAACGCGACTCGGCTGATCCACATTAGAGTGAACAGAAAAACAGTCAGTTTTGTGTCATTTATTGATTTCTTTATTTATTTAAGTGTTAAAGCGCGTAAGGCGGTGTCAGCTGTAGGTTTGGGCACAGAGGCGGAGAGCGATTCAGTCTGAGCAGGAATGAAATATTCAGCAGCGATTTCAGCCTCATTACTTGTGCATGAGGAAGGTTCTCCGCGGCGCTCACCGCAAACGACTTCACTAACGACTTTATTATTCTCAAACACGCCGAGCGCTTTGTGCCAAAGTCCTCAGAGTGCAGAGGGGATTCCTGCGTTTACACTGAGCTCTGCAGAGACACTGACATCAGAACAGCAGCTCAATCAGTTTAATCAGGAACCGTCTGTCTGAGCATCTTCCTCTGATCACGCTTATGTATTTCGTACGTGAAGGCCGGTATCTTTGATCATAAATAATAAAGTACATCTATTAAAGCTTTTCATTCATAATAAGAACATTATAAGCACAGCATTTACTACATGTATTGCAACAAATCCAACTTTGCTCAAATTCATGCTGCATATTTTGAATTTAGAAGCTTAAACTAAATAATAAGGTGGGTGTTTCTAATAAAGCGGCCAGTTAGTGGAAGTACAAGGTGGGTGTTTCTAATAATCGGCCAGTTAGTGGAAGCGCGAGGTAGGTGTTTCCAATAAAATGGCCAGTTAGTGGAAGCACAAAGTGGGTGTTTCTAATAAAGTGGCCAGTTAGTGGAAACACAAGGTAGGTGTTTCTAATAAAGTGGCCAGTTGGTGGAAACACAAGGTAGGTGTTTCTAATAAAGTGGCCAGTGAGTGGGAGTTCTGACTGACCAGCTCGTTTAATGGCATTTCCATTCAGCGTTTAAGCTGAGTTTGATCATGATTCACTGCTTGAGTGCTGATGGGTAAAAAGCTCGGCCTGGCCGACGGCGTGACTTCACTTTGTTGCACATTAATTTCCGCCGGCTCCCTTTGAAGTGGCATTTTTCTACGTGGGTAAAAATCCAGCGAGGCAGAAGCCGGAGGAACGTGTGTGTGCGTTTCGCGTTTAAAGACCCAGTTAGCCCTACTTGAGTCCAATGGATATTTTCGGTTCTCATTCAGCTCATGAATTATCCGCTCCACGGTCGTGTGGGTTCTCTCTGCGTTCGAGAGCGGGAGCTCTGATTTGGTCTCCCAGCGTGTCGTCTGTTTCTCCGATTGTGTTTGTTTTCCTCAAATGGTTCTTTGTTTCCTGTCCTCTCACAGTGCTGCTGAAGGTGATTTGACCCCTGGAGCTTTTCAGGAACAGAATGAACAGCAACAAAAACAACGTTAATACTCCTCCGGGCCTCGTAGCCCCGCCACGATTAGAATTCCCTTCCTGCTGTCATTAAGTCTGAGAATTGGCTCTCCAGCGCTGTGATTGACAGTCAATCACGTTTTTATGTGTTTATCTGCTCTCGTGGTGGTTGGATTACGAGGATGAGCGTTCGGGCCTCGAGCTGAGTGGCGGTGCTGAGCTGTGGGAGGCGTGTGGCTGGGATTGGAGTGGTCACTATTGAGGGGGCATCCTGCAGATACCACTCAGCACCCTGAGGGACTGATTTCTGCACCACTGCGATGAATTTTAAAAAAGAATCTATGAAAAATTCATCATAAAATCTCAGAGAAATGCTAGTGAGTGAGCCACAACCATCCCAGTATTACTTTATGACACATTAATATGCATCTCACAGTATGGAATATATATCATGTTGTACGTGTGTGAAATGTTGCACTGTTAGTATAGTATTAATATAGATCAGCTATAGTTTTTAAGGATAAACGTCTGATGAGTCGACCAAGCAGAATGTTCACCACACACCTGAATGAGACGGTTCTTTATGGGTTCTTTAGTAAAGGAAAAGGTTATAAATTCTATATAGAACCATTTTCATGCTTAAATTGTTCTTTGAATGGCGTATTAATGGAGAATGTGTTGCATTTGGTTCTACGTAGCACCAAAAAAGGGTTCTGCTACTGGTACAAACTTAACATCGCAACAATACCAGAACTTTTTTAGTGCTATGTAGAACCAAGTTTTATATAGAACCCTAAACATCATGTTCTTCATCAGTCTGAAGAGGCACCATGCAAAGAACCATTGGTAACACTTTCTATGAATGTCACATTTATAGCATCTATAAACACATTTATAACATGTTATAATGTATTCATAAGGCATTATAAGCGTGGTTATACATACATACATACATACATCATCTAAACCGCTTATCCTTCTGGGTCACGGTGGGGTGCTGGAGCCTATCCCAGCTGTCATTGGGCAGAAGGCAGGATACACCCTGGACAGGTCGCCAGTCCATCGCAGGGCAGAGTGGTTATAAATATTTATAAAAAATAATTACACTGGATTACACTTTATAGCCATGTTTATTATACATTATGAATTGTTAATGTAATGCATTATAAGTAGTGTTGATAACATGTTATACTGTCAGTGCCAAAGAAGTCAGTCCCAGCTTGGAGAGCGTAAAGTAAAGACAAATGCCAAGCTAACGGTGGTGAACATTACCTTTCCCACATTGGGTAAAACACTGATGCAGCTCTAGTTTAAACTCTGACATTTGAAGCCTGTAATGTGCTTTACTGTGAATGTTTTAGTGTTTCAGTAAATCCTTCAGTAGATACTTCAACTTGAAGCCTCACTCTGAACACTGGAGGAGGCTTTAGTACAGTACGCTTCACTTTACTTAGAGCGGACTAATACAACTTATGAGCTCTTATAATTTGTTATGATCAGTACTTATAATGTATTATGTTAACAATTCATAATGCATAATAAACATGGCTATAACGTGTAATGCATTTTTATAAATATTTATAGCTATGTTTATAATGTCTTATGAACGCATTATAACATGTTATGAATGTGTTTATAGATGCTTACAAAGGTGACATTCATAGAAAGTGTTACCGAACCATTTAAGCATGTAAATGGTTCTATATAGAAGTCATGGTTCTTAATAGAAAAGATGTGTATATATATATATATATATATGTATATATATATATATATATATATATATATATAGCATTAACTTAGCTAGCTAGCAACTTAGCCTGCTTCGCCTGTCAGTCCGATATAGCTGAAAGCTTTGATTGCACTACAGCCACTACTTACATTTACCTTGAAAATCTAGTATATTTTATAACATATTTCCATTAAATACCATTACACAGTAATAAGTCACTGTGTACTTATAGATTCTATGTGGTTCTAAGCAGTTAGTTTTGGTCAGTATTTATGTAGCTGTGTTTTTATCACCTGGACACTCTTCAGTCTGTCCCTGAGGTGGAGAGGCTGAGTGGACTGTGTTGTGTGACCGTGTCGGTGTCTGTGTGCTCAGATGAGAAGACGTGTGGACCTCACGAGTTCCGCTGCAGGAACAATAACTGCATCCCGGAGCACTGGAGGTGCGACGGCCAGAGCGACTGTGGAGACAACTCGGACGAGGAGAACTGCAGTGAGTACCATCTTCATCATCATCATCATCATCATCATCTTCTTCATCATCCCTACCTTCCTCATCACCGTCATCCAGCATCATCAAGATTATTAAGATCATCACCAAGACCATCACATCATCACTATAATTATCTTTATCATTATTATCACTGTCATTATCATCAACAACAGCCATCACTGTTATTATCATCTCTATAACCAACTTCATCATTACCATTGTCTCTCTCTCTCTCTCTCTCTCTCTCTCTCTCTCTCTCTCTGTGCTGTGTGTGTCTTTATAGTGTGTGTGTGGTGTGCGTGTATGTGTATGTGGTGTCTGTGTGGGTGTGTCTTTGTTTGTAGAGAGTCTATGTTTGTGGTGTGTTTATATGTGCAGAGAGTGTGTGTGTGTTCAGTTTGTGTGTGTGGTGTGTAAGTATATGTGTATATGCATAAGTGTTTAGAGTGTATGTGTGTGTGTGTAGTGTCTGTATATCAGTGTGTGTGTGTGTGTAGTGTCTGTATATCAGTGTGTGTGTGTGTGTGTAGTGTCTGTATACAGTGTGTGTGTGTGTGTGTAGTGTCTGTATATCAGTGTGTGTGTGTGTGTGTGTAGTGTCTGTATATCAGTGTGTGTGTGTGTGTAGTGTCTGTATATCAGTGTGTGTGTGTGTGTGTAGTGTCTGTATATCAGTGTGTGTGTGTGTGTGTAGTGTCTGTATATCAGTGTGTGTGTGTGTGTGTGTAGTGTCTGTATATCAGTGTGTGTGTGTAGTGTCTGTATATCAGTGTGTGTGTGTGTGTGTAGTGTCTGTATATCAGTGTGTGTGTGTGTGTGTGTGTGTGTGTGTAGTGTCTGTATATCAGTGTGTGTGTGTGTGTGTGTGTGTGTGTCTGTATATCAGTGTGTGTGTGTGTGTGTGTAGTGTCTGTATATCAGTGTGTGTGTGTGTGTGTGTAGTGTCTGTATATCAGTGTGTGTGTGTAGTGTCTGTATATCAGTGTGTGTGTGTGTGTAGTGTCTGTATATCAGTGTGTGTGTGTGTAGTGTCTGTGTATCAGTGTGTGTGTGTGTAGTGTCTGTATATCAGTGTGTGTGTGTGTGTGTAGTGTCTGTATATCAGTGTGTGTGTGTGTGTGTGTGTGTGTGTGTGTGTGTAGTGTCTGTATATCAGTGTGTGTGTGTGTGTAGTGTCTGTATATCAGTGTGTGTGTGTGTGTATATCAGTGTGTGTGTGTATATCAGTGTGTGTGTGTGTGTATATCAGTGTGTGTGTGTGTGTGTGTGTGTGTAGTGTCTGTATATCAGTGTGTGTGTGTGTGTGTGTGTGTAGTGTCTGTATATCAGTGTGTGTGTGTGTGTGTGTGTAGTGTCTGTATATCAGTGTGTGTGTGTAGTGTCTGTATATCAGTGTGTGTGTGTGTGTATATCAGTGTGTGTGTGTGTGTGTGTAGTGTCTGTATATCAGTGTGTGTGTGTGTGTGTAGTGTCTGTATATCAGTGTGTAGTGTCTGTATATCAGTGTGTGTGTGTGTGTGTAGTGTCTGTATATCAGTGTGTGTGTGTGTGTATATCAGTGTGTGTGTGTGTGTGTGTATATCAGTGTGTGTGTGTGTGTGTGTGTGTGTGTGTAGTGTCTGTATATCAGTGTGTGTGTGTGTGTGTGTGTAGTGTCTGTATATCAGTGTGTGTGTGTGTGTGTGTGTAGTGTCTGTATATCAGTGTGTGTGTGTGTGTAGTGTCTGTATATCAGTGTGTGTGTGTGTGTGTAGTGTCTGTATATCAGTGTGTGTGTGTGTGTATATCAGTGTGTGTATGTGTGTGTGTAGTGTCTGTATATCAGTGTGTGTGTGTGTAGTGTCTGTATATCAGTGTGTGTGTGTGTGTATATCAGTGTGTGTGTGTGTGTGTGTAGTGTCTGTATATCAGTGTGTGTGTGTGTGTAGTGTCTGTATATCAGTGTGTAGTGTCTGTATATCAGTGTGTGTGTGTGTGTGTAGTGTCTGTATATCAGTGTGTGTGTGTGTAGTGTCTGTATATCAGTGTGTGTGTGTAGTGTCTGTATATCAGTGTGTAGTGTCTGTATATCAGTGTGTGTGTGTGTGTAGTGTCTGTATATCAGTGTGTAGTGTCTGTATATCAGTGTGTGTGTGTGTGTGTGTAGTGTCTGTATATCAGTGTGTGTGTGTGTGTAGTGTCTGTATATCAGTGTGTGTGTGTGTGTGTAGTGTCTGTATATCAGTGTGTAGTGTCTGTATATCAGTGTGTGTGTGTGTGTGTAGTGTCTGTATATCAGTGTGTGTGTGTGTGTGTGTAGTGTCTGTATATCAGTGTGTGTGTGTGTAGTGTCTGTATATCAGTGTGTGTGTGTGTGTGTGTGTGTAGTGTCTGTATATCAGTGTGTGTGTGTGTGTGTAGTGTCTGTATATCAGTGTGTGTGTGTGTAGTGTCTGTATATCAGTGTGTGTGTGTGTGTAGTGTCTGTATATCAGTGTGTGTGTGTGTGTGTAGTGTCTGTATATCAGTGTGTGTGTGTGTGTGTGTAGTGTCTGTATATCAGTGTGTGTGTGTGTGTGTGTAGTGTCTGTATATCAGTGTGTGTGTGTGTGTGTGTAGTGTCTGTATATCAGTGTGTGTGTGTGTGTGTGTAGTGTCTGTATATCAGTGTGTGTGTGTGTGTGTGTAGTGTCTGTATATCAGTGTGTGTGTGTGTGTGTGTGTGTGTGTAGTGTCTGTATATCAGTGTGTCTGAGTCTCTTTGCTAACATCAGCCGAGTGTCTGAGTTCAGTGCGGTGCTGCTGATTGTCTCACGCTCGCTTTTATGATTTCTTTTATTATTTTCGTCTAATCTGATCGACTCTCTCAGTCAATCACACAGATGTGTGTTTGTGAAGCTCAGGGCTGCAGTAGAGTCTTCCCTGCTGATCACAGAGCCTTTTCATTACTCATTAAAGCAGCCAATGTAGCTGTGAACCCTCCACCACACTTTCACAGTGATTTAGTTTAGTTAGTTGTTTATATTTACGAGGCAGAAGCAAATATGTTATTTTATTATTATTATATTCTGTAGCTGCAGCTACAGGTTCAGTCTGTAGTCTCTAAAACCATTTACTCTGCTTCGTTACGGAGTGTCTGCGTGTCTTTGTTTTGTCCTGTGAGGCTGTTGTTATTGTGTGAACACTGATCATTAATTTAATGGTTTATTGATTTTTATGAGCTTTTTAATTAAATATTCACACCAAAACAAGGCCAGACTCTCCTCTCTCGTCTCATTAAACTGGAGCTGTGTGCTGTAGATGGACCATTTCTGATGTAACACTGTGTATTATATCACTCTAAAGCAGAGTGACAGACACCCGACTGTAAAGCCAGAGCAGCACACTTCGCGGTTTTGAACCACGCTGCGCCGAGCGCTACTGACCGCTAGTTAAACACAGTTAATTGAGCTCTTGCATGTTTTTCTGTGTGTTATCAGAGTTGTGGTAGTCACTCCATTAAAAATGACTAATTACATCACTCAGACTGTAATGGGATCCTTTACGGTGTAACTATTTCATGGCTAAGGGATCCCAGGTGGTTGCTAAGGTGTTGATGCGCGATTCCTATGGACAATTGTTCGCTATAGTGTTGCAAGGCTGTGGCTACGGACTCCCAGGTGGTTGCTTAGGTGTTGCCAGGCTGTTGTTATGGTATCCGGGGGTTGATAAGGTGTTTGCTAGGTGATTGCTGTAGTATCCTAGGTGGTTGCTAAAGTATCGCAAGGCCTTTGCTATGGAATCCCAGGTGGTTGCTAAGGTGTTGCTAGGCCTGTGCTATGCTGTCCCAGGTGGTCGCCAAAGTATTACTAGGCCTTTACAGTGGAATCCCAGGTAGCTGCTGGAGTATCGCCAGGCTGTTGCAGTGGACTCCCAGGTGGTTGCTAAGGTGTTGCTAGGACATTGCGATATTTATGAGGGATGACCACAGAGATTTAATAAAGATGTCCCATTTTCCTCCAGTGGAACGAGACTGCAGATGATCCAGACATGTTTTAATGGATCAGCTATATAAAACCTATCAAATCTTCCATCTCATTGGGGATCCATTCGTCATGTTTTTGTTTGTCCTTCTTAAAAACAAATCCAGACGTTAAAAATGAAGGTGGTCCAGCTGTGTTAGGATTGCGCCGGACCTCTCAGTAGCGAAGTTGTTTGTTTGTTTTGTCCTCAGAGCCGGTGACGTGCAGCTGGAAGGACTTTGTTTGCGCTAACGGAGAGTGTATCTCTGCACGCTTTCGCTGTGACGGAGACTTCGACTGTGCTGACCATTCAGACGAGGTTTGTGATTGGCTGATTTT